AGGGGTTAGCAAGGGATTATCTTCCTTATATCTCCGGTGTTTAGGGATTTGAAACAATGCCTGTACATCATCAGCAAGATTTTATCCAAAAGCAAACAACCAGAGATTTTGTGTTCTTTAGATCATCATCCTCCCCTCAATCTCTGCCTAGGCAAGAGAATGGGCAACAAGTTGGTATCATAATGCCAAAAGAAATTTAAAATTTGAAAACAAATATGAGTGAAACGAATGAATTTCTTCAAGACAAACATACTCATTGTATTAAGATAATCATACAGATGCAAACAAGTTCTTACATGCAAACAATGTTTTGATAAACAAGAAAAATTACAAAAAGCAGAAATAAGTTAATAATCTAGGAAGGCTTTACATCTGGACTTGAATTACCGAAAACATCCTTCAAAACTCAAAGTGACCATCAAACGTGTTTACTCTTCGGCACATGCTTGATTTGAACTTCAAAACCAACGTTCTTGAATGACAAGATATCACTTCTGACCAACTTCTGAACCTTAATCTTCAAAGCAAAGCAACCCTCCAAGTCATGCCCAGGAGCACCTTGATGAAAAGTACAAGTCAAATCAGCTTTGTAGTACCAATGTATCTTCTTAGGAACCTTCGGTGGAGGTCGGGTCTGAACCAAATTCCTCTGCATCAGGATAGGGAACAACTCTGTATAGGTAATTGGAACTGGATCAAATTGGGTTTTCCTCTGATTAGGGACTTGCTGATTCTGTTGATGAATAGGAGAAACATGATGATTCTGACGATGATTATTTCTTCCTATGGTTCTCTTCTTGGAAAAGTTATTATCAAACTTCTTCACACCATTAGCTGAGCTACCATCTTCATATGAACATCCCTTCCCAACATCTTCTTCTAGACGCACTCCCACATTCACCTCGTCAGGAAAGTCATTAGGTGCATTAACCATCACCTTCTCATGAGAGAATGATTTTAAAGTTTCAGTGAATACTTTTATCATCGCTTCCTCCCTCCTAGAAGGATTGACTTGGGCAGCAACCAGAATTCCAACCAAACCAGTCAAGTGCTCCATACTAGCTTTCAAAATAGTCATCTCTCTGCGGAGTTCAGAAACCTCTTGCTTGATATTCTCCATTGTTTTCTTAGCACGAGTGTTGTACTGGTGAGACCAAAGGAAAAATACGACTCGGAAAAAGACCTTTGAAAGTGAAACAAACAATGTAGAATGATGTATGATATGCAAAAGAGAGTTTTTATTTGATTTTCAAGGAACTCAAGATATTAAGTTGTAGACATCAAAGTGTGAAGATGGAAGATGAATTTTGAATTGGATCAAAGTGTTGATCAAGTTATCGTCAAGATCAATCATCCATTTTGGTGGATTAGGGTTTTCACCCTATCAACACCCAAGATCCATTGAGCTTGACGAAACTTGTGATGTTTACAAAGAAAGACCTCCCAATTCCTTCAAAGTCAAGTGAAAAGGGTTTTATGGATGCATGAATGCATGGATATGTAACAACCACAAGCAAGGTCACAAATAAAGTCGAAAGGTTCAACGTCACGAGCATGGAGTCAAGGTAAGGAACACCCCCAAGGTATGTACTAACGGTTTAATCACACATGTAGAACAAGGTTCTAAGAGTTCCCGGAGTCTACATTCCTCCTTCGGATATTACCAACGTCTTGATTACTCAATAATCAGCAATATTCTCAAGAGAAACTCATCCGAGCGTAGCATCGCGTAACAATTACTTCCGGATTACTCCGTTATAATCTCCGCGCTACACCTAAAAGGCCAAGATGGGTTAGGGTTCTACGGTTCCCAGCTTCTTTGGCTCCCAGGTCGAAAATAATAATGTCTTCCCGATTACTCGGTAAACAAATATTATGTTCAAAAGGGCCTTCCACTGAGTGGGGGATCTCATGCCTCCTTCTTCGGGATTACTCCCTCAAAGTTAACATGACTATACCGCCCGTCCTATTCCTAAGTGTAACTTAGTCCGGGTATAGGACTTGTCCTTTGTAAATATTATCAACACCCAAATAATCATAATATATACATATAATCAAACAATCAAATAATGATAAAACAGATAAAACAAATTAGGCTTAACCCACTTAGGGATGGACCAGCAAGAGGTCAATCTGTCCCCAGCAGAGTCGCCAATTCTGTAGCGGTGAAAATCGGAGATCAAGCTATTAATTAACTTGACTCACAAAAGCAAGAGTCGCCACCGCGCTTTATTATTTCCAAGGGAAAAGGGAAAAAGAGCGAAATAAAACCCTAAAGTATGCAATGTAAAATAATACTTAAAAGTAATAAAAATACAATGCGTTTTTTGAAAGAGATCGAGAGTTCGGGGGTTGGTTATACAATGGGAAGGTGTTAGCACCCAATGCATCTGCGGTACTCCGCAGGAACCTTTTGAAATATCTGTTTTTTTGGTTTAAAATTGTTTGTTTGATTAAAATGATTCGTTTGGCTAAAAGATGGGTATGGACGAGATGTTTGAAGATACGACGACCTAGTGTCGAAGTTTTGACTTACAAAGGGGCGAGTTTTAAAATTGAGTCTTTTAGGAAAAATTAACTTGATTAACAAAATGGTAAAACAAAAACGAAGAAAGGTATTCGCTTAATCGTATAACATGTGTTTGATGACATGAAGTCAACAAAGTTATAATATTTCCCTTGGAGTTAAAACCACAGACAGATAAATAAGCTAAGAGTATACCAAACCTTAGGTGAAAATAAATCACAAGCCGACAGCATCAAAAAAAACCTCATGTGAGATAATACTCCAAGCATCAGATAAAGGACGATCGATAAAGCTCACGGTATAAGATTCCCTGCATCACATGAAATATATAGACAAAACTAACCGCACGGGAAAACTTATGTGCGTCCGTACAATTTTCAGAAGTTAGTCGGAATTAAAAATAAAATCACAATGCGATGAAAATAATATTTTTAAAACTTGAATTTATTTACAAGTAAAATATACAGTCAAAATATTATGTACAAGTATATATTTACAGTACCAAATATTAAGTCAGAATAGTAAAATACAATAAAAGGTAAAAGGGAGAAGTGTAGGAATTATTGATGCACTATGCGGGAATTAATACTTGAAACAGTTCTCGGAAACCTTCACAATAAACAAACTTGTTAGTAGCATAAGCGGTACAGAAATGAAAGTGAATGGAATTGCAACAATTAAAATCTATGTTAGAAATCACAAATTAAAGAATTGAAATGAAATTGTATGAATGGACATGAATATTTACACAAATAAGAACCAAGATGAATTGATTCAAAGGTCACAAATTTAACACAAAACAACACACATTTAAACAAACTATCAAGAAGAGGAAAGTTCACAAGAAATAATTCTAAACGAAAATTATTAAAAAAAAAAAAATAAACACTACAAAAATTAAAACAAAGAAAGATTAACTATTAATTTGAAGTTATTTAAAAAATGATTATCTACTAAAACTTTACCAAAATCTACTAGACTACTTAATTGATATTGTTTTGTTTTTGTTTTTGTTTTTTAAATATAACTACCATATAGTAATTGATATTAATATCATATATAATGTCTTACAACCCCATGCAAAAGAAGCAGGCTGAAGACTACACATCATCACATTTGCATGTACTATAGCAGAACAGTGATGCCTTACAACTGTCAATTATTAAAAGTGATTTTCATGAAAATGAACTAAGAAAAAGCACATTAGAAAAAAACCAACAGCAATCCTATCTTAGAAACAGAAAATAAATTGACACTTTTTCATGAAGGCAAAACGCGGAGCATATCTCTAAATTACGACAGCATCAAACGCAGTTAGGTAAACAAATCAATTTATCACTGGACTCAGTTGAACAAAATCGAGAGAAAATGATTACCGGAATGTCGAATTCATTAGAAGAGGTGAAGTTGCTGTTTGTTGTTGTTGAGCTAAGACAGATGGATGCACCAGATGCATCAACAGTGATGAAAGGGAGATTTATTTCAGTTTGTGCAGTTGAAGAAAGTTCAATTTTTGCTTTCTCAGCAGCTTCTCGAAGCCTCTACAAAGCAAGCTTATCCTTTGCAAGGTCTATACTCTCGGTTCTTTTGAATTCGCTTACTAGAAAGTCCAACAAGGCATTGTCAAAATCTTCTCCTCCCAAGAAAGTGTCACCATTTGTTGCTTCATAATAAGACCAACCTTCCGTCCAAGATCCCATGTCTTTTTCTTGAGCATGAATTCCTTGACTTTCACTTTGAGAAGTAAAGGAATCAAAGTGACAAGTGTTATCGCGGTAGCACAAGACACCAACGCAGTGAGGATCTTAAAGATAGTAAGTGCCACCATAAGCTGAAAAGTGTGAGGACCATAAGTCCAACCATTCAACAAATGTGTCAATCCACATAGTACTATGAAGGCAATGAACTGAACAAGGACCCATTTGAAAGGGACGTTTGAGCAACTGACAAAATAAAGCAGTTCAATCGGGATCGAGAAGTAGGCCACAGCAATCAAGAAATCATCAACTCTTTGACACTCCAAAATGCTCTCAATAGTCCACAAACTCGCTTCATCGTCACAATTACATCTCGAAAATCCATTATCTGTCGCAGATACACACAACACAATAGAAGTAATCAACAGCATATATACTATTGCTTTTACCATTGATCCAATATGCTGCTGATGCCTGATTTGTTGAAAAGATTCCGCGGCACGAAGCCGGGTGCGACCCTTTGTTGGAAATAGCTCCATGAGGTTGATTTTGGTAGGAAACAAACAAAATGATGATGATGAAAAATCTAAGTGAGGTAGATGAAGGGAAAATGGAGTGTTGGGATGGTGGTAAGCGGATGTTGATGAAAGAAGATTGAAGGGGTGATTTGGTTGAGTGTGAGCGTGGGTTGCTGTAAGTTGGTGAAGGTTGGTGGCTCCGCCGGCGTTCATCGGTTGCGATTCCGGCAAGAACGGGTGAGTGGGACCATGTACGAGTTAGAGAGGGGAGGGGGTTTTTTCGGCGAACACGGGGCTGAGAATGACATGAACAGCACCGGAAGTAGATGCTGAGGCTTGCAAGGTTCGATTTTGAGATTGGGAAATGGAGTTAGTGGATGAAACAATGAAGGGTGTATCGTGAGGGATATTGTGAGGTAAATTTATGGGTGGTTCCGGTTTGTATTGACGGCGGAGAGGGAGGTTGTGCTGGGAGGAGATGGAAGGTGATGACCGTGAAAACAAGGTGTTGTTGTTGGTGAACTTACGGAATGGAGAGAAGTCCTGGCCAGACTGTGTAGTCACATTTGTTAACAGAATGTTGTTGAAATTACACTGATATTGATAAATGAATTGTTAGTAAGAATGAAAAAATCAATAGTACTTGGTGGTGGTGATCCATGTATAGGTATATAAAAAAAAACAAGTTATGAGTGAGTAAATTTGAGAAAATGAAATGGGAGAGAGGGAATTGCAACGTTGGAAAGAGAGAAGAGGTATGAGTTGTTTTCTGCTATGCCTTTTTTTTGTTCCCCCCTACAAAGTGATAAAAGAGGTTACTTAAATAAGAAAATGATGAGGAGTATATGCTTTCAAAATTAAATCATGACCGTTCAATATTATTCAATCTCTATCAATCCGCAAACCAAGCTTTCGACCAATGAGAATTCAATCTCTATCAATCCGTAAACTATGCTATCGACCAATGAGAATTAAGCGAAGCCTAATTAGTATTTTTTGTGACCGAAAACGATAAAAAACGGACGAAAGTTTATCCGAAAAAATAAAATGAACACGTTAAAATACTCTACATGTCACAAAGATTAAATAATAAAAAAAAATATTCAAGAAATCAAAAATCAAAATAAAATGATAATAAAAATACTGGGCTAAAACAGATGTTTTACGGTTGAAAAAACGAGACTTCAAATTGTATCGAAAAATAAAGCGAGCATACCGTCATAATCTACGCGAAACGCAGATTCATAAAATGATCGGTAAAAGGTGAAAACTTGAAATATTTTTCTCACTAATTTTCCGCACAGTGTCAAATCGCTTTTAACAGTTTGTCTATGAAACCAAAATATTTTTATTATCGACATATAAACAACTTGCATGAAGTGAAATGTCAGGTGTTTTACAACTGAAAGACGATGCAAACTTTGATTTAAACTGACTTTTCTGGTCAACTTAAATACGACTAATGATGCAAAATATGATGAATGAAGATATTTACTAATGATTGTGACCAAATGACAAAATATGGTATGAATGTGCGACTGAAAAAATTAGGGGCGACATTTAGGGTGCAACAGTTGTGCCTTGATGAATCAGTCTTCGAGAATCCACAATCAACCGTACTTCTGGCTTGGGAGACTCAAAACCTTAATTGAGGCGCGACACCTGATGCTCTCGATTCAGACCTGTCTCTGCACATGACACAAAAGAAAACATGAACATACACCTTCGTATGCGATTAGTAATTAGTGATACATAGGCTAAAAATGTTCAAAACACTTGACAATCTTCGCATAGTCAAAGCTCGAAGGTGAGACGTTAAAACCGGCCGTATTTCGTGACCTTGACTTATCTTTAAAAATGCAAAAATAAAAATGGGATCTTAGGTCAAAAATTGGGGTACAACAGCATCTCACCATCAGATCTGCTTTATCACCCCCTTTGCTAACTTTTTACATTTTCATATTTTATTTTTATTTTGTTTTTGTTTCATATTTAATATTTTTAAATTTTCCTTAAAACATAAAAAATCCAAAAATATAAATTAATAATATTACACTTTTTTTTTAATTATTTATCACATAAAAATATAGTTTATTTTGATAGGATATAATTTATTTTCTCAATAAACTTGTAAATATAAAAATATATTTAGTATAATTTATTTTTTATTTTCATACTTGTAAATACCTATTTTTGCATGTATATAATTTTATATTTATAGACAATGTTATTTATTATTTTTATACAAGAAAATGCACAAAATAATAATATAGAAACTTCATTTTCTCTTAAATAATAATTAGGGTTAAACCCCTTTTAGAAAATCAATTCTTTTTTTATATTTTTAGGTTTAGATTAAATTTTCTTTTACATAAAAATAAGACATCAAAAAATCTTTTTACATGTACATTGTATTGCATTACATTTTAAATATTGTTTTGTATTTATCTTAAATTCGTACAAATTCGATTTGGTTGTAATAATGTATTTAGATTTATATTTGTGCAAATCCCCATTCAAATTTGTATTCCCCCCTCCCATAAATTGTTGTAATAGCTTAGAAATATTTACATTATGCAATTTATCGGTTTATATGCCATGATTAGTAATTAGGGTTTGCATGACAAGAACAAAACAAAACAAATAGAACACCCTAAATACAATACAAGATCAAAGCATGAAAATGATATACTTGCACACAAGCACCCTTAGGGTATTCCCCACTTGGTTGACTAAAATAAAATGGCCATGTTATGCATGCGAAGTATCTTGGTAAAACAAATCAAATATAAGATCATAGCCCCTCGATAACGCTATTCAAAAGTTGCCTTACAAAATGATCTTGGTCCCTCAAAAATGCTAAAGATACTTTGCAATATTGTTAATCATGGTCATACGATGACCTACGCCCGTCCCGTTTACATCCAAAGATAGGGTTGCTTACCAAATCAATGGTAAGACAACAATGTCAAAGGAATAGAAAATACATAGGAAAGACATTTGAGTAGGTAGATAGGTTCTAGTTTCCTGCTCCATTTCAAAACAAAAACATCCTTGCTATCTTCAAAACACACACACATCTCAAAACATCTTACAATCATTGAAAACATTTTCAAAAGACAAACATCTTTGTATACATTCTTACGAACGAGAATCATTGCAAATATCGCCTAAACAAATGGCCTCTTTTACAAAATACTTTCAAAACTACACGAAACACAATTTCAAACAACAAAAGCAAGTGATCTAAACAAGTAACTAAGAGCCCATGGAAAGCCATGGATGAAAATGGTGCTAACACCTTCCCTTTTCATAATCTACCCCCCAAACTCAAGAAACAATCTCAAAGGTCTTTCCTGTGCTTTTTCGAATTTTTTTTATTAATAACCAAGTATTAAAATAATATTTCGCAAATAACCGGGTTTCGGAAAAAATTACGCAAATAACCATGTTTGAGATGGCTTCACAAAGGAGGAGCCATCTCAAATGGCGCATGCTCCTATTTTTTTAAGGGAGGCGCCATCTCACTTGGCGCCTAAGTGCTTAGGGCAAGCCCTAAGCCAAGTGAGATGGCGCCTATGTAGAAAATTAGGGCAAAAAAATTTTTTTTTATTTTCTTTCCTGCGCGTTGCCTATTAGACAGAGATCAACAAAATGGATTTTTTATTTAAAAAAAAATAATTACATTCAACTGTTTTACATTTAAAGAACAGTAAAAAAATGGATACAAAAAATATTGGGAAAAAAAAGATACATCAGTGATCCCCAGGAACCCGGTAATGACCCCCAGTTCCGCATCCCCGTCCTCGCCTTTCTCTTGCTGGGTGTCGTCTCGTTTCCTGCTGCGGCAAGGTTGATGGCCCAGCGAAGTCAATGCGATCCGAATCCATAAAATCAGTAAGATCTCCATATCTCGAAGATCCGCTCTGGTACAGTCGGTTACCCATACCCTCGAAGTTTGGTCGTGTTGCCGGTGGGTGGGGTTCCATGGTTGGTCGGTAGCATTGGTCGTCTGAGTATGGGGGGTAGAAAGGAAATGGATCTTGGGGTGTTTGGTATTGTGGATGTTGGGTTGTTTGGTGATATGGTGGTTGATGGTAGGTTTGGTCGGCTTGGTCATAATCTTCTGACATTCCCATATCAGGGCTAAGGCTGGATGTTGAGGGCGCCATATTGGGATATGTGGAAGACTGAAATTGTGTCTGGGGTATGTGGGTTTGTTGGTATTGGGGTTGGTATTGTGGTTGGGTTTGAGGCATATCCGGGTATTGGTAGTTTGGCGATGATTGTGGTTGGTAGTACGGCATTTGATTGTAGTTGTGTTGTGGTGGGGAATGTGGTTGTGTGTTTGTTGGTCTGTTTCTTCTTGGGGGTTGGTTTGAGGTTGATGGATTTTGGGTTTGTTGGTGGGGAATCGAGGGTTGTGCCCATTGTGTGCGTGGGTCAACCAAGTACCTCAGATGAGACACGTGCATATCTGGGTTACTAACCGACCTGTACCACGACATATATTGATCAATGTGTCGCATGTTACCTTGAGTAAGGAAAACCGGGGATTGCAAGATGTAGCGGTGACGCCTTTGCCACATTTTACACCATTCTGGAGCAAAGTCTTTCCAGTTGGTAAGACCCCACTGGGCGTCGACCCTTTTTAGATGCCAGGGGGACAAATCTGTTGGATCACTTGGTATCTCTTGGATCATTCCGAACTGCATCTTCACACGGTCGCTGTGGTGCATCTCCACAATGTTGAACCGAATGAGTGCAGTCTTTGCAGTCCAAGTTGCTGCATCCTCTGGATTTGGAGAATGGCCCAAACCCAAATATGGTCTCCAGACGAACTGCGATAAAATTTAAATCAGGTAAGCGCAAAAGTAATGTATAAATAATTAAAATGAACAAAAGTTAAAAGTTACGACGTACGTCATCTGGGCCTAAGTGATCCAACAGATTCCGGTAGAGTGCGACATTGAATCTGGGATTCTTGCCGTAATCCATACCCCTCACGTAGTACCTAAAGGAAATGAGAAACATGTTATTTTTAGCATATATTTTGGAAAGAGCAGAATAGTTATAAATGCTATAACTTAATGACTTACTTTGTTGCGTACGGGAAACCAAAAGTGTTGTTGTTGATGGGGTTTAAGGACTCCATCCTCCACCAACCCCAGGCTTGTAGTAAAAATGCGCACCCATAAAATGTACATTTTTCCTTGACTGTGTTTTTACACAAGGAACTGTACAGGTGGGCTAATACTGCAGAACCCCAACTATATTTTCTAGTTTTATCAAAATTTGTTAGTAAATGTAAGTACATGAAATTTACACTATTTCCCGTACTTTCGGGAAATAAAAATGTACCAAAAAGTATCATAATATACGTTCTGGCTTTTACTACTCGGTCATTCTCTGAGGAATTTTCATTTAATTCCATACTAGCATAATGCCGTTTCAGGTCAGTGAGTAGTATTCCCTGCCCTCTTGCTCCACCACCTTCTACCATGTCCCTACCCAACAGTTCTTCACACTGTGAGTTAGGTTGTTGAACCGACCCGTTCACCGCCTTACCGTCGATAGGGAGGCCCAGTAGCATGTACACATCTTCGAGAGTGATGGTACATTCACCTATTGGTAGGTGAAATGTATGGGTCTCCAGTCTCCACCTCTCCAACATTGCAAGAATGAATTTTGAGTCAATGGTGCAGTTGGAGATCTTTATCACGTGTCCAAAACCTGCATATTCCAGATAAGGGACGATAAATGGGTCGGGAGCCAGGTATTTGTGCGAATGGATTCTGAATCTTTGTGTATCCTGAGATCATAATTAAACAAGAGTAAGATTAATTAAGATGAACAACACGTTATTTGAAGTATGAAAAATGTATAACCAAAGAAGAGACTTACAAATGCAGCAATGTTTTCCCTTGTGCCTCTGTGAGTATCTCCCATTGTTAGAAGAGCCATTGTTCAGAATGCTTGAGAGAATGAAAGACTTAGGAAGAAATAGAGAGTATGATAGACTTAAGAAATATTTCGTAGCAGAGAGTGAGAGTTGTGTGGGTGTGAGAGATGTTTCATAAGGTATGTATTTATAGGCAAATAAGTTTGATGTAGTGGTTGCATGCCTGCGATGTGTCACATTTGCATGCTTAGGGTGTTACACATATGCATGCATGCATTTACAAAAAATGTAAGGTGTCACTCTTGCAGGCTAGGTGGCAG